CTATAAAGATTAACTAGCTAGTGTGGTTTAGTGTTAAAGCATTGGCCTGGAATTTGGCAGATCCAGGTTCAAGTTCCTATTTGGCTATAAAGTTTACTTCATACCTTTCAGCCAGTCACTGACTCTTAACCTACCTGACGGGTTTGTTTGTTTGTTTTTTTAAGAATAACATGGAAATGAGGAGAAAATTGCATGTCACCTTGGGTTCTTTTCAAGGGGAAAAAGGGGAGGATAAAAACATAATATAATAGTAAAATTAAGTTAAATATTAAAACCACTAAGTATTTCTAAATCAGATAAACCACCTTTCAAATCAAAGCTCAAAGCAATTCACAAAACAAAAATGCAAACCATTTTTAGAACAGGTAACATTGTTCCAGGCTCTCCCTTTATGTCTTTCTATGAATCTTCTTTACATATGCATCATATTTAACTATATTTGTTTCCTGTTTCTCAAAACAACCCTCAACCAGAACTGGAGGTATACGTACAACACTGGGTTCCATATTATCTGAAATATGAAATCTCAGATTACTAGTATATTTATTAGATTTTACAGTGCTCCTGTCTAGCATCTCCTTTTTGCTTGCCACCCACAATTCTTATTCATAGAGACCAGGTTCATATGATCATGAAGGGGAAATAAGCCATCCTATCCTCCCTCACTACATTCAGATGTCACAACAACCTGTGCCAGGAAACAGTAATTCTGCCAAGTAGAAACTTGCAGCTGGCATGTGTAGAGTGAAATCATAAGCTGCTATGTCTTTTTTTCCCCAGCTGTGATCATGCAAACTCTCCCAGAATGATATGGTTCATGAGACACAATATGGCATGAATCTTTGTGCTAGTGTGGTTTATACTGATGTCCAAACTTGGAATGGATGATTCAGCATGGTCTGTAAACCAGAGACAAGCCACTCTAAGAATCCATGACTTGCTGGGTTGTTGAGGGAAGCTTGTTCTCAGAGTGGCTTATCAGGACTGCACACTGAATCAATCTGAACAAGTTATGCCACTGCCACAAGCCAGGTGCCATTCCTCTGACCAATCAGACACAATGTCTCTTGGGTCCACAACTACTGATAATCAGTCTGAAAGACAGCCTTTCCTCAATATATGATTTAAATCCTCCAAGGAAAAAGGAAAGTGTATGTACTCTTAAGTACAGACATATATTTTTAATAAATATGCCATTTTTATATGTAGGTATAAATGTAGAATATTTACTATCAGAAGTATATAATAGTCATCATTAACCTGAAACAGCAGGTTCTTAGTGTAGGGGATTTCCTTTATTTGTCTTTGTCGCTTGAGGCTCATGTGGCCTCAGTGACACAGGATGCATCTAGCAGCTTCAGCTGCTGGCCCAGCTATGCCCATATCTGGACAGGGACAGCCTGGTTTCAATCACCTATGCTCTAGCAATCTCCAACATGGAACTGTCCAGGAAAACTGTACAGATGATGCAGCTAGTGAAGATTAATAACAGGGACCTGCAGGTCCGAATATGTAACACCAGTTTTGGTCCACTTGCATTGACTGCCTGCATGCTTCTGAGCACAATTCAAGGCAGTTTTAACCTATATAGCCTTACACATTTTAAGACCACAACACTTGACAGAGTACCTTTCCCAACTGCAATCTATCTGGATAGTATGTTCACCATCCAGGGCCATCCTACAAGTGCCAACTCCAAGGAAGGTCAGAAGGGCAATAGCAAGAAGAGGGGCTTTCTGTGTGGTGGCCCCCCATCTATAAATGACCTCCCCACTGAAGCCTACTAAGTACCAAAACTGCCATTTTTCAGTGCCAGGTTAAGATGGCCCTTTTTGCTAAGGCTTTTAAAAATGTACTGGGATAGCCAAGCCCTTTTTAATATGTGATTTTTAATAAGACTATTTTCACTGTATATTTTTGTTGTTGCTGCTATTCTTAATTGTTGCTAATTCTTAGCATTTTTGTTAAGATTTAATAGCATTTTATTTATTTGTTTGTTTATTTTATATGCTGCCCAATTAACCATAGGTTCTCTGGCCAGCTTACATACAATCAAACACAATAAAATCAACAAAGCAATAAAAATAATATCAATAAAATTAATAGTAATAAAAACAACAATTAATAACAATATTAAATTAACTATATAAGATGAATAACTAAATGATACATTAATAAACTTCTTTATTAATACTGCTAGATGAACAATATGTAAAACACCTAGAGAGCTTCAGCTATTCAACAGTATAGAAGCTGTCAGATGCAATGCAAAACTATGGTTTAATGCTACATGAAAGTGCCTTGAAATCACATGGTTCCATCTTACAAGACTGCAAGAAGATCAGAGCCTTTTGCTTCTATGTTTTATCTAACCACAATTTTTCATTACATTTGAATTTTGAGGAACTGTAGTTAGTGTAAAGCAGGGGTGGACAAATGTGTGGTCTACAATTCCAGAAGTCTTAGCCAAGTTTTGGTGATAATCATGAGATTGTGGGTCAATCTATCTGGAGCCTGTGCCTGGTTTAAAGCAGCCTGCCACAGCCTGGTGCCTCTCAGAAATGTTTAGCCTGTAACTCCCAGCATCCATGACTACAGACCACTGGCCATGCTACACAGAGCTAATGACAGCTGTAATCTAAAACATTTGGAGACATTAGTTTGGTCAAGACTGGTTTAAAACAATTATCTTGTCAAAGAAGCCAAGATCAAACCATGATTTTAAATCCTGGCTTGTTCACTTCCAACACTTGCAAATTGCTAGTTGCAGTCCTTGCGTATTCATTCCCAATATTTCAAAGTAACAGATATGCTAAAAGAGGAGAGGGGAAAATGGAATCCAGGACATTCAAATAATACTAAACTATAGTTCTATGTTGTATCCAAACCCAACCAGTAGCAGAAAAGCTTGAGGAATATAAGAATATATATAATTAAGAATATTTTATATTCTTTTTATAAGAATATATATTCTTATATTAACCAGAATATAACTAATGAGACCATACCAAAACGATTTATGGAGAAGAGGAGATTGGCAACATAGGAGGAACCTTAATACATATTTAATGAAAGCAGTTTAATGGACAACTCCTTCTACATTGTCTTCTTGCCAAACAAGCTACATTATATAGCTCTCTTCACATTATTTCTTGCACCGTAAGACACAAATTAGTTTAAACACTAAAATCAGCATCCTTTCATACACTGCACATTTTTTACACAGAAGGGACTGCAATATAGGGATTAAAATGAAACCTAACTGTACAGCTGTGAACATGCAATGGAAAAGCAAGAGCAATTGTGGCGTCATAGCATGCACAGCTGTAGCAAGAAAGCCCATATCACTATCTATATGTTTCATTTAAGTTCTTCATGGAAGGAGGTAACATGGACCAATATTAAAAAGATCTGTTAAGCTTAAAATCCATTATATATTTATTGTATACATCTCTGTTCATTGACAGTTGTTTCCATAATATTAAGGAAGTGGAATTAATTTTTCCCTCATTTATTCTCAAATAGGTCCATGATCAAAGTTCCTAATATTCCAGTTCTGCAGGTTGAATATCAGCTATGAAAAGAATTTCCACTCTACAGCTCTTTTTACATGCTCATTTGAGTTACGAATCGATTCCAAATTTAAGTCTTGGACTTCATTCTCTGGGCTAATATATTCACTCTCCAATGCATTAACAGTGAATCAGACTTTAATCTGCAAAATCCTGGAATATAATACCTCTTCTTTTCAATCTATGAACAATGGCTGCTTAAAACCCACTACCTTTATACCATGGCCTGGAGGCAATTCTTGTAAAAGTTTATACTGTCACATCCTGTCATGTGCATGCACAGGGAAAAGCTGCCAGGATGTGTGCTACCTGCTTAGACCTTCAATGGGAATAGGAGTTCAGACAGTAAAGACAAAGGAGTTCTGGAATGTCAGCAAACTACAGTATCAGATCAAGGTCAGGAAATGTCTCAGGAACAAGGAGGGTTACTCCAGGTTGGCGGGTGTGATGAAAAGTCATCTGGTGGGAATGGGGTGATAACTCAGCAAGAGGAGGAGTTGGCAGCTGATGCTGACAAGAACCCTGACCTGCCACTCGAAGAACAGGAGGAGGGTTTGGGGTCTGGCCAGCACGTGCACCAAGAGTTGAACAGTCTGTCAGATGTAGAGGTCCCCTCCCTGATGAGGTAATGCTGGTTGCTAGGAGACAGCATAGGCCGGAGATTTAGTTGATGGAGCAATGGGAAAAGCACCAGTAGGTAAAGAACCTCAGTGATCTGCCTGTGAGTTGGTGTAGGAAAGGGGGCTATAAGCAGGGTAAAGACTAAGGTGTGTTAGAGAGGGCTCAACACTTCATTCTGGGTGAACTCAGAGATGTTTAACAATAAGGACATGTAACAATAAAACAGTGTGAAAAGGAACTTTGGAGCAGGGTATTTACTCAGGAGTAGGACGATGCCTCAAGACACATCTCCCCACACATCATTAATACCACACTCTTATGCACATTTAGATAAAAAAGTCCTGTAACTCCCAGCATCCATCCAGCCAGTGATACTGACTCAGGCAGATGGGAATTGTAGGCCTTTATTCTATCGAAAGATGCACAAGAGTTCTCCCTAAGCTTTTGTGAAGCCTAAAGTGCCTGATCCTGCCTAATCTTGAAAGCTAAGTGTCTGACTGAAATCTGGATGGGTGACTTAAATGTTGTGACCCGCCCAGACAGCTTTGGTTACAGGTGATATAGAAATGTAATGTAATAATAAAAAGTTATTTTGATTTTGTTTACTTACAAAAGGGAAGAATCATACTTCTTTGAGTTGCAAGAAGAAATAGTTACTAGTGCCTACCATGTATGCAATTTCACAGTCTCAAAGCCTCTAATAATTTAATTACTACAGAAAAAGGGAGAACAAATCTGAATAGATGAAAAAATGTCAGTAGTAAGAAACTGTTATTTTATATGTCCCAGTTTATATGCTGCACATACCTCAGGCAGAATGAATTGTTCTACAGGTTTGTACCAAAGTCTGTTCACTTGTACTCCACAGCTAGGTGGACTAAAACGAGCACTGAAGAGTGCCTCCTATGAAACAATAAGCAACACATTTTGTAAGCCATGAACATCATGAATGTAATGCATGCATTCATACTCTTCTAGCTGATTTACAGCAGGGAACTATAACTGACTTAAAACAAAAAAGAGCATGCAACCTCCAGCATGCCTTTTGTACAGCCTGAACAGTCTTGATAAAATCCTATACAAATTCCATTGGAGAATAATATTCCATATAAATCAAAAGAAGACATGCTGCCATCTTTGACAGATCTCCTGTTTTTAAACTAATGGTCCGATATGAGCAAGCAGCACCTATGTCTGTCAGTAAAATAGACTCAATGAATCAATAACTGCAGTGGATTCAAAGAATCAAAGCTTGGAATAAACAAAATTAATAAACTAGAAGTAAGTCTCACTAAACTGAGTGGGTCTTATGGCTGAATAAACATGTAGGATTACACTGTAATCCTACACTGTGGCTGTATCTTTTTCCCAACATTTAGGGTGCAAACACTTCCAAAACAGTTTATTAAAAATCTGCAATGAATATAGGTCATCCATCAAAAATACTCTACAGGAAAACCTATACAATCTTCTAAACAAAGTACAGGTATAAGATGCATAATCCTTCATAAGCTGCATATGAAACAAGCAAAGAAGGCAAGCTAAGCCCTACAGGAGAAAAACAACAACAACAAAAAATCCCAGTATGAGCGATCATTCTGAGCTGAAAGAAAATTAAATTTGGTGGCCTAATATGAAAAGTGCCTGTGTTTTCTTATTCTGTGCCATAAGCCTCTTTATTTCAGAGCAGGAAAAAACTGCCAGAGATTGTGGCCTCCTCAATATATTGCCAAATATTCACAAAGCATATGTAAGTCATAAAAATGGTTGATTCTCTTTTTCTACTTCATTCTTGTAACTACTCTGCCTCCCACATACACATTCCATGGACACCACCTAGTCATTTCTAATTACTTCAGAATATTAATTTTTTTAAGAAAAATAAATTGTCAACGGATTGCAGGTTACAGCATTACAACCTAAGCTGCATGTTCGGTCTGCACTGTCACCCGCTACCTCTCCGTCAACTGATGCTACAGTTAGCGTCTAATTGCCTAAAAAGCTGTAGATTTATTTCATATTACGAAGAGAACTACAGCAGCATACCTCCTGTTCTGCCTGGTACAGTTTCACAGTGATGTTTCTCTGGAATCCTACACCCTTAGCATCGTAGAACACCCCAAGACTGGTGATGACGATTGGGTAAAGGACTTTGAAATGCACACTGACAACTCTGTCTTCTGAGAGCACTGAAGTATCATCCTCTAGCAAAGTGAAAGCTTCAATTTCTTGATTCAGAACTACTGGGAAAAAATAATAAAGACTACAACACAAGCCCATCTAAAGTAGGAAGAAGGCAGTCACAACTCAGTAATGTTGGAATACACTTATTTAAAAAGGGATGCAAATGCTTCCATATTATTTACCATCACTGGCAAATACAGTGGATAATGTACTTAAGAAACAGCTTATACCATAATCCTTAACACATTTAGTTGAAAGTATATCCAATTTATTTCCTGCATTGCATCAATTAAGAGTGGTACAAAGGATTGTAGACTTATTTCCTAGCTTACTGTAAAGGGGCCGTGCGTACTTTGTTAAATCTGTCACAACTGCCTGGAAATAGTTGACCTTCGGTTTGAGAGCTTTTAAGTATAGTAGTACTGCAATGAGCAATACTGTGGCAATTACAAGGTTTACAAGACTGATTAGATTTCAGAATATTCTTAATAAGAAACTCATCTAGTACAAAAATATTTTAAAGTTTGACATTCTTACCTGGGTTAGTGATGTTCAGAAGTCTGCATGAATAAGGATCTTCTCTATCTTCCACTGGCACATCACATCCATGTGCACCAATTATAAACTTCACAAGGACACTGAAATATTTTCATTAACAATTCATTTTTATTTCTGTTCCATCATCTTCAGAATGCTAATTCTGGGCAAGCATAAATCTTCCAAAAATAGGATGTATTCTAAAGATTGCAATTGTGGGCCCCCCAGAGAACTTCAGATATTGGACATTACAGAAATGTAGTAAATAAAGATAACACACCCCCCACACACATGCAACTTTTCATCACTTGTTTCTGTTGAATCGCTACTCCAACTTCCTTCAGTTATTTAAAGGAGAAAACCAGAGAGCATCAGTTGTTCCATATTAATCCAATTAAAATGAGAAGCATGATCTTCTGGATGTCTTCATATAATAAAAGATTATTGATCACAAATATAATTCATTAAAAGTCAATAAAATTCTACCTACTAGCCATATTTTGTTACCCTTTTCTCTAACATTTGTGGATCTTTTAAAATGCAATGAAGCATCATCCTAGAAAAATCCATCTATAGAGACAACTACTACGAGAAGCTCATTAGGGTAAAGAAAAGCACTGTCAAGCAGGTGAATACTTTAATTTAGGTTAGGGCACTTCTTGTCATATTATTTAGAATCAAACATCAGAATTGCCTTTAAACTAAGACTGTTGGGATAGGGTTTTTTCAGTTATTACATTTTATACAAATCTGACTTAAACCAATGGGGACTCCTCAGTGATAAACAAAACTTCTAGGTTTTGAGCTTCATGAAAGAAAGCTTAAGACAGTTACCGTTGGCTCAGTCCTGGGTGCTGCTTCAAATGCCTGAACCAAGTGCTTCTTATAGCATTCCGCAACCCATCATTATGTCGTGCAGACAGTACCCCTACGATGACATCATAATGTTTCGGTTTCCAGTGAGGAAAGAAAGCCAGTAGACCTAGAAAGTATAAATTAACAATACCTTATAAGAAAAGTGAACAAGTAAGTGTGGTAGTTAGAGTTACAGGCTGGTTCTTCAAATGATAATTAAAATTTAAATATTAAAAATAAGCATTAACTTCATAACTATAAGTTACTCTTATTATGAAGATTCAGAATGCAGTAAAATAGAATTTCACTGATGAAGGCTTATGTCAGGATAAACTATGTCGGCTGCTTCTCCAAGGTCATAAGAGCAATCTTGAAGAAGCTCAGAATCCTCCAAGTTCAGAGGGCTACAGGCACACAGGACTGCATAGTAAAGTAAGTCACATGTGAGTGAAAGCCTATCACAATAAAAAAGTAAATTATGATTCAGTGAATGCAAATATAAGTAATGCTACTGTAGATTATTTGATTCACAAGCAACTATGCTTTCTAGATTCAGACATCACACAGCAACCCCCATCAGAAAAGAATATATAAAAAGGCTGCAGAACACATGGGTACATACCACAGCAAATCATGAATTAATTAACCCATTGTTACATGCAAACAACTCCACTAATTCAATCTAGGGCAAAATGTTAGTAGTCTCTATGTTCTGCAAGTTTCAAGAACGGGGCAGTAAAATATCATGTATAGAATGCATATTTTCCCTGCATTCTCAACTATTGCATATGTATGTTCAATTACTAAGGGAAAAAACTTAATTAAAAATAAACCAACAGTAAACTAATTTCTTTTAAAATTAAGATGTCTTCCTAAACTGAAATGCAATAAACATGGCCAGAATCCTACTACCAATAGAACAAGATGGATAATATAGTCATGTCATTTCAATCAGTCATTCTATAACGGAAGTACTTAGACTTATATTTAGCATTGGCAAGAGATCCGTTTCATCTCACTCTGCTTAATTTGAAAATGAATCCAAAAATTTAAGATGACAAATCAACTAAACGCCGGAACACTTTAGAACAACTACTGCACGTTAAGGGATAAGAGGTAATTTCAGAAGTCTAATTTTAGTATGTCCCAAAAGATATACAAATTTATACTGCATGTTTCAGATATAATGGGTTGGTGATATTGTATAATACCACTGTCCTCTACTGATAACAGTCTTAGATTTATCCAAGATATTGTTGCTAACACACAATTTCAAGAATAGCCAAGATTATACTTTTAAATTTAGAAAATATGTTTAATCCAGGTTCTGTTCCACTAAGAACAATACTTTTACCAGTACACTAGAGTTCACACAACAATTAGCCAAGTGCAAATATCGTAGTATGGACAGGATGAAATGAAAGGTGAGCTGGTGTTATCAAGCCAAGGAAAGCCTTCCTTGAGATCTTCCAGTGGATGGAAACAACTTCACATCCCAGAGATCTTTTGGCGCAGATCACCATTCAGTTCTCCATGCTCAATGAGGTGCATGTTTGGTCACCCTTTGGCCAGATTATATACTATACCCTTTGGAGAGAGATATATGGAGATATATATTAGGACTTTCTGGAATAAATGAGTCACTTCTTTGGTTATATAGTCTAGCTTTTAACTGGAGTTAGAACTGATTTGAATTACCTTCATTTTGAGAATAACTATATTTTGCTCAATCAGTTCAGCTTCTGCAAAGAACATAGTTCTGCTCTGCATAAAAATATGAAGGCAAGGGACAAATTTAACAACCCCCATTCAACTTTTAGTGTCTTCATAAAATTTCAGGATACTATTAGAGTATGTTGGCAAATATTTCTGTGATTGGGAACAGTTGTAGCTGCTGCCCACTTGTGATATTTGAGGATCCGTTACCACATATTGGAATAAATTCTGCAGGGTCATCCACAGCCATGCAGAACCAAGAAGCAGTGCTGTCCATAGCTGTCAACTCTACAGCATAGGTTGATGAATATACGAAGTTTCCCTATACACAATCAGACTACTGGTCCACCTTGCCTGTCTATTCCAACTGGTGGTGTGTCTTTTAAGACCTCAGGCACAGAGGCCTTAAAAGTCTCTTTCAGCCCTTGGAAGGCTTTAGCCTTTGCACAGCAAGCTGCACTTTGTTATTGACCACAATAATGTACATTTAAACTAGATTTGTCTTTCACTGTCCATTTCTTTTCTTTTTTTTCTTTTTACAGGATGTGGCATTTTGGATCATAGTACTCCTATTTGGTAGACTTTATACTGCTGCCTTTTCTTGGGTCCAGTTTAAGGTGCCTATTTTGGCCTTTAAAGTTGTTAATACTTTGGGACCATTTTACCTGAAAGACCAGCTAAACCATACATTTGCATTTAAATTATGCCACAGGTCCTACTTACTGGTGCTTAGCAGTAAGCACCATTGTGCTAGTAAGTATTAATGATATGGCTTTTTCTGTGGTGGCCCCAAACCTTTGGAACTCCATCCCAGAGAAATAAGTATGGCCTTATCACTGGGGTCTTTAAAAAATGTTAAAGATACATATATTTCAGTCTGCATTTGGTGTTTTAAAATTCTGAGCTACTGCTGCTCTTGTGAGAACGGGGAGGGTAGGGAGCAATTGTATGTCAATGTTTTCATAATACTATAAGCAGCCTCATGAAAATAGCACCTTCTGGAAGGCAAGATAAAAGTCTCCTAAATAAATAAAAACAGAAGAAGGCAAACAGCTAATCAGAAGTACAACCTCAGTATGTTCAATATAAACACAATGAAGTTTGTACTACACTTGACTAAACAGGAACACAGGCAAATTGGAATCCAATTCCAGAAACCACTAATGAATAATTAACTTCTAGTTCTAGATCCTTTTCCAAGTTAAAATGCTAGTTTACTACAAAGGAAGCTCTCATAAGGTGAGAGCACCTGGCCAGCAGGGCAAAGAGGAGATAAGGCATGGGGCAGACTGGATAACACTTGGAAGTCAGCTTGGAAGTCAGGAATGTGATATCCTAGCTCCTTAGGCAAAATGTGCAATAGCAGATCTTCAGCCCTCTTGGTAGAAGCAGATACATACTACTATAGACAGAGACTTGACAAAGGAAGTTCTAAGAACTGCTGTAAGAGAGCTTTTCATTTGGTTTATTCTATGCTGAAGTTTAAACATTGCACCAATGCTCTAAGAAAAGCCACCCCTAGTGGTTTTTCCCCATCTCAATTTACTATTTTTATAGAGAGCTGATGATACTAAAGAAACCATGCTACTCAAAAAAGCAAAAGATGGAGGTCTAATTTACTGGCCCATTTTCTTCTTTTAGCACTTGAAAAACAAATACACATTAGTTCACTGACTGACAACAATTTCCTTCAAAGCATTACACTTTATTTAAAACTATTTCTTATAATCAACCCTGTAGGTAGCCAAATTATATCATGTCAATAACTTGCCATTCTTTCCTCTCCCCAACCATTGTTTTCAAGTTTGTTAGTGCTTCTCTTATTCCTTTATTTCAACAGCTTTATCTTTTGCCTATCTGTGGTCTTAGGGATCACTCAGGGATGACACTAGAGTGGCCTAGAATGACACTAAAAAAAATAGAGATTGTGAAATATTAAATTCCAGAAAATAATCCCTAATCAACCTCTCTTCAAATCTTACTTACTGTAGTAGTTAGATGAAGAACAGCTTACTTGAAGGGTGTCACGCGTGCCCGTACGCACAAACACACACACACACACACAATCTTTTCCCCTGTAGCCGATGTAAAGGTTCTTAGCTTGAGTGCCACTAACTGGCTTTTTTCCAGTCCAGATATGCATCCCAAGCCACATCATTTTCTCCAGAAGGGCAGCTGTGTTAGTCTGCTATGGCAAAAACTGAATTTTTCAGTATCTTAAAGCCTTAATCTATTATGGCATAAACTTTTGTAAATTAACCTTCATCAGATGCATGAAATGTTATCCTGACATACACGATTGGAGGCAGGGGGGACGTGTAAGCAGTGAGGTCAAAGGGAAATGAAATACAAAAATGTCAGTTCCTAATGTTAAGGCTTCCCTAAGATAACTCATTTACTTCTAAAAGCATGCTGAGGGCCAGGCTCTAAACCATCTTGTTTATATATTACTTCTCCTGAACATGGGATATTTTGCTGTTCTGCAGTTCTTATACAACTTATACAACCCACTTGCTCTCAGTTCCTACTCCTACTCCTTGCTTTCTTTACTGCACATTTACAGAAGGTAGATCACGTTCTACTGATGGATTCTCTGGGTGACTTACAGTAAATCAGCAAAAGTGTTTCCAAGTTCCAACTATTTAACAATATAAAACCACCACCACCCAGCTGAAAGACCAGAGCATCTAATGTGTGTGTAAATATACATATAAAGCAAAGTTGATCCTGCACATCTGAAGGCTGCCCATATCTGCTTTACAAGACCTGCCTGGGAAACCTGCTCCTATCTTTATCCAGCTTCTCTCCAAATCTTTGGGTGAATGATATGGTGAAGGACGGGATATAAAAGCTTTACATAAATATATAAATAAATAGCAATAGCCTACATCTCTGATTGATGTCCTACATTACATCCCACCTGCTGGTTAAGGCATGCCTCCCCAGTGCTTGTTGCGCTACAATCACCTGTCCTACCCTTCTCACCATGTCCCTGGATTGACCTCCCATCCTTCCTCCCCCAGCTCCCCACAAGATACAGAGCGATTTTTTTGAATAAACGTCCCATTTCCCAAGTACCATTCATTCACTACATTTGCTTCTTCCCAGTGCTTAGGATGAAGGACCACCAACCTCAGCCTCTTGCCCTTCTTCCCTAACGCCCTCGAGTGCCAGGAACTACCCCACGGATAGGACGGAAGGGGGAAGCTGATCCTCCTCCACCGCATTCCCTTCCCTTCCCAGGGCAAGCTGGGGAGAGTGGAGCCGTCTTTTCCACACTTGGAGCGAAAGATGCCTCTCCGCATCCCACGTTTTCTCGCCCCCGCTGCACAAACGCGTATGTTTCTCGCCTACATTACCTCATGCACAACAGCGGGAGGACGAAGCGCCCCCCTGCACCCACCCGCTGCCTCAGGCAGGCGGGCAGGCTGTCTGGCGCGGCCAGCGTCGCTCCCTCCCACCTTCCCCACCTACCTGCCGGGTGTTGCTTGCCGGGGCCGCTCGCCGGGCAGCTGAGGAAGAGCAGCCAGAGGTGCAGCACGACCCCGACCGCACACGGACACAGAAGCACCAACCAATTTCGCATTGGCCGCCGGCAGCCCCTACCCAGCCGTTGCGGCCTCCCTCGGCAAAGACGGGGTGACCCGGAGGGACAACTGCGGGCTGTCCGCTCCCTCCCTGCTTCTCGGCGGCAGCGCAAGGAGGTGGCCACCCCGCGCCGCCTCCCCACCAGCCCTTCCTGCGGCCGGCCCAAAGCCAGAGTCCCGCCCCGACCCAGGAGCGCGTGTGCGCAGCGCCGGTCCTGCCGACTACAATCCCCACAATGCCTGGCCGCGGCGGGGGCCCTCTTCGCCAGTACTGCGCCTCCCTGGGGAAGGCCCCTCTGCGAGCTCGGAGGAGGCCGGGCCCGGGGCTGGAAAAAGGGAGCTGGTGTGCAATGCGTAACCACGCGAAGGGGCTTTATTGTCAATACAGACTAAAAATTATTATGGCATAACCCTTCGTAAATTGAAGCGTACTTCATCAGGGGCACAGAATGTTATCTGGACTTGGCACGTATCCGAACACAGGATTGGGGTCGGGCTGTCCGCTATACGAGGGCAAAACACGCTTAATGCGAAAACATCTTTAAAATCTGGCGCTTTGCCTCGTGTCTGGAAGCGCGACGTCCTCTCGGCTCCTCTTCTCTTTTTAGTAGTTGCCGAAGCGTTTTTCCGGCGGGGGTGAAAGGCAGCACTCGCACCCCCAAAAGCCCGGCTTCAGGGCAAAGGGCTGGTCCCGGAGCGCGGCGTTGGAGGCTGCCGAGCAGCACGGCCACATCCTGGGGCAGGGGGAGAACGTACCATTCCTTTGGAAGGTCGTACGGTTCGTCAAGACGCAGCAGCCTTGCCAAGCTGTAGCAATGTTTGAAAGCTGGAACAAATGGGATGTATTTGAATCTTGGATACAGGGGTTTTAAAAACTTAAGGAAGTTCGAAGATTCAGGTAGTAATCCCCCAAACAGTTCTCCGAATAAAGGTGCATCGGGAAGGGGATGAAAAGCACACGTCTCCACCACTTTTGATGTCAGAAAACGTGAGAAAGCTGCCCCTCTGCTCCAAAATCTGCGTCTGCCCCCTTTCCCAATCATCTCCCTCGCTTCTGGTGTGCAGTGCCAGCTAACTCTCCCCCATCCCCAGAACAGAACTGTGTAGTGCTTTATTTTATTTTATAGCGGTAATGATTTGATAAATGGGGAAAAAATGGAAATTAACTGATTGTTACTCTGAATTCGCACTTGGCTTGTTTTTTAATTAGTGTCTCAAGCATTTGAAATTCCATTTTGGGGGAAAACTCGGGTGGGAGCTCATAAAAAATGATCAGCCCTTCATTTTGTGCATTTTTTTAACCCTAATCCATGGCAAATTAATTATTATTGAAAGAATACTGATTTAGGGTGGGCTGCAAAATGAATATTTATTTGGAAACAACAGAGTTTTCTGGCACCTTAAATGTGCTATGGCATACGTTTCTGTGGGTTGTCGTCCATTTCTTCAGATGCAACCGCCATAACTTAAGAGCCCACCTGATGAAGTGGGTTGCAGTCTGTGAAAGTTTATGCCATACTAAAGTTTGTTATCGCTTAAGCTACCACTAGACTGCTGTATTTGCTGCAGCAGATTAACACAGTTACCCCCTGGGTTTTATTTTGTGAACTGCATGCAAAATTAATTTGGCTTTGTATTCTATAAAATTAAATCCTAGTAATTATTGCTAATTTGAATATAGATGTAAACTAGGACATGCACATTTTAACTGATTTGTATTTTATGGGCCTAGGCCCAAAACTCAGAGGCTTACAATATTTCCATGCCCTGCGAGACTGAAAGTGGTTGAGTGACAGAAGTGATCCTTGCATTTTTCTCTATGTAGGCTTTTCATCGCATCCAGCAAAGTTGTTTTGGAGGCAGTGAATAGGAGGCTGGAAGAGGGCTCAGAATAAATCATAGCCTGGCCTCTTTTGTCTCATCCTCCCTCTGCTCATTAGAAAGCCCTCCTCTCCAGTCAATTATCTGTCTTGCTGTCTGGGAAATGATGGGAATTGGAAGACTTTTTTCCACCTAAGCATGTATCATGTTGTATGTAAGCTAAATGAAGTTTGTGACATGCATTGACAGGAGAGAAAGTGCAGAAAGCAGTGCACACACTGGCAAATTAAGGCCTTAACCATCTTTTAGCAGAAGGTGTCAGTACAAAATTGTTTGGGCCTTTCATGTAGAGTTTGCCAACACATTCGTAGTCTGGCTATTTGAAGGGGCTTCATCTGCATTATAGGGTACAGCTAAAATCACAGGAACAGTGTAGCAATTATATATCTAATAATAGGATGAGTTGTCGCCTCCACAAGGGGCAACTGCCAATTCCCTTTGTCACAGCCATTTCAAGGCACAATTGAGAATAAATAAAAGAAGGTATGTCTTCCCACAGTGCTTATTGTTACCAAAGGTGTAATGATTCAGTGGTTTCATTGATGTCAATCCCAAAATCAAAACAAGCCATCATGGTTTCTACAAATTATCAGCCTGTGTCAGGTGCTATGTGTCTAATTACCCCCTCCCCCAGACCTGGCTTGTCTTGCCTAGTCCTGGGTAACATGGTTCATTCGATCAGGAAACAACCTCTAAAGAACCCCCAGCCTGTCATTGGGTGCATCCAGCTGCATATTTAGGTGCACACCATTGCTTTAAATAGCCCACCCTGGTTTATTTAATTGCGTGAATCAACTCACTGTGCATTTACACGCTAAGAATTCTTCGCCAATCACATTTTCCTAGCACTTATATCTGCAGTGAAAAGACATATGCAGTCTTATGTGTCCATTTGCATTCTGTTTATGCACTTTCCCCAATGGATTCACTTTTACTGAGTAGGAAGTATAAAATATTTTAATTGATGCTATGTATGTTTAATTCTTGTAACTCATTCTATGTCTGTAGAAGCAGATAGCACAGAATCCAAATGAGTAAATAAAATTCCAGTGTAAATAACAAGCTTTTCACTTACAGCCTTTAAGCTTTATGAATTTTTAAACAATGATTTTGCCATAATAATTAGTAAAATCTATTAGTGTTTGTTTTTGAAGAAGACGGCTTAGATACTGCCTGCTATTTTATTTATTAATTTATTGAAAGTTTTTCTACCCCTATCCACCACTAGTGTCTCGCTATCTTATGGTGAATAATAGCCGTAAAACAGGTAAAGAGTTCAGTTCAGTAAATTCTGCATCCAAATTTGAACAAAACCAAGTAAATCCAAGGTGTGTACTACATAGATCCCTTCCCTGCCCACAAGAAAAAATGATGACTTCTCATCATTGCTGCCTTAAATTTTATCTTGTCCTGTATAGCTGTTGCACCTTCTTTTCTTTAATGGTGTTTAATTGAGTTGACTTCAGCATCTATGATCTTGGACATGTGACAGAATCTGTGGCCTTCCATTTCTTGTTGGACTCCAGTTCTCATAAGCTTCAGCCAACAGGGCCAGTGGCCAGGGATGATGGGAGAGATGCCAAAAGCATAGAGAGAGCTACAGGTTCCCTAGCACTGACCCTGAAAAATGATCAGGATGCATGGAAAACATGCACAGCGAGTGCTGTGTTAAATAATATTCAAATATTGACTGAACTATCCATTGTAGGTGGCAAGCTGTGTGAACCCGGACCATTTCTGACAGGGTGCCTTTTTATGGGTAACAGTTCCTGTACACAGAGTGGTTGTGTTCTCTGAATTAGGGTGACCACCCCAATGTGGATACTATCACAATTGTAAAAATGTTTCAGCTGCCACATTTCATCCTTTGACCTTTCTTTTTTTTTGGGGGGGGGGGGGGAGAGGGAGGCAATGGCAGCCAGTGACACTCCCTTCAAAGTGCCCAAGTAGCACTTTGGAGAGAATTTCAACAGTTGGCAAAGAACTTTCTAAAAATGCACTCGCCATTTATGCATTATTCTTTTAATTTTTTTCATTTGATTGCCATACTTACACAGTCACAGAGATGCAGAATTCTGTGGGCATGGAAATGTGAAGCCTAAGCTAGGTTAATGTCCTGGGGAGAATTGGCTGTAGTGGTACAGGAGGCACCAGTCCTGACTATTATCCCAAATAGAGATATTTGTCCAGTTCTGTCCTGTCAGACCCTGATTTAATGGGGACACAGATTTTTGACATTTGTTCTGAGAACTTTTACTTCCCCGAAAAGTAAAAGAGTACTCATGCTTTTGCTTTCCCTTGACAGCTTGTTTTTTAATAGCTGACAAGCAAATGTGAAGGAAAGAAAACCCTATCCGGAGCATCTTTATAGCTATGCCCAGAGTTGATACTTGCTGTGCTTCGACAGCAGGCACCCACCCAGTATATTGACCTGGGCAAGCCTACAAATATCTAAATTTGCAGAACAGCAGGCTTCCACAGTTGCATGAATTTTAAACAGTGTGTTTTTAAAAAAATGTTTGCCAAGCATTGTCAGCCCCTCCAATGTACTGCCTGGGCTCTTTGAAAGTGCTGTCACTGGTTGTGAAAATGAAGATAGCAAACACTGGCTTTACAGCCAGTGCTTACAGTCTCCAGAAGAAGAGGAGGAGGAGGAAGATTAAAGGGACAAAAAAGCCACGTTGAGTAGAAAGGGCTCACAGTGGGAGGACAGACAAGTAGGGCCTGCCATGGGGTCCCCGGGGTATCTTCAGGAGGACTGAGTGGGAGGGAGAGGTCAAACAACCCATGGTAAGACTGATCATATGTTGGGAGCATTGTGGATTTTTGTACAAAACCAACCCACAGTGTCTCATCACCAAGGTGAGTTGTCATGAAGTGTGAACTTCTCCAATGTGACAGGTTTGGAAAAGTTGTTTAGGAAAGCTGAAAAGTTAAATCTATGCATTTAAAGATTGCAATGATTGTCATGACTTTTAATAGATTCTATTCCTTGAGGCATGTAGGAAAGAGACTGCATCATCTCATCTGTTGCTTTTCACAATAGGTTGTAAACTAAATCTTGTTCTTGGATTGGCTATTTTTGAAGTAGATCACATAATCTCTAAGTTGTTTTTCTGATTTCAGAAATTTTTGCAATTTAGTGTCCATATCACTGTATGTAACTGTGTCTTCTGCTCCACTGCATCTTTCCAAAAATCAACTCTCCTTCTACCAGTAGGGGAAGCTACTGTGGTTCTGATTTCTTATTTAAATCCCGATATAGCTCTACATACTGTGAGACTTCAGTACATGAAGGACTGTCCTAAGATAATTTGTTAATTTACCATGCACCACCTAGAGAATTTGTGCAATGAGATGACTAATACAAATCAATAAGTTAATCAAATTTAAGTATTTCGATTTGGCTTAGCACTTCTACATGTGCCCTAGCTGTTGCCTCTGCCTCTGCTTCTCCCTTTCTGTCCTGTTGCTTTCTGACACAATTTCTGAATTCTGCAGAGTGGGAAAATGGTTCTCTGAAGTGGCTTTCATCCACTTCACATGCAAGTTCATCCAGAGGGATTTATTTAACATGAAGGATTCCCTAACTACTCATAGCTTTCCTTGCTGTAGAGCCCTAGAATCTAGTGTCTGTGGGAAGGCATATTTTAAAATCTCCTGGGGGGACAAAAGCTATTGCTCAAGCTGCCACTCCTAGTAGTAGCATCAACCTTCCTCTCCATTCCACTATTTCCACTGTTCCTTAAACTTTAAATCACCCTTCAGCTGGTGTGTGTAAAGGTTGAAATGTTATTGTAGAAATAATCTTTTGCAAGTATTTAAATAAAGCATTCCCTGTTTAGCTCCTTTTATTGCATGTTAAGTCTGGTTTTTATAATCTTTCACAACATAATTCAATTATCAAAACTTCCCCTTCGTTAATACATATACAAGTTTATTTCTTCGTCCAGCAGATGGCAGCAATAAATCACACTACCAAACATCTGAAAAAACAGTTTTAAAAAATGCGTAGTTGTAGAACAGTTGTGCAATAGATGTTTTTGTGCTATACAGAAATAGTCATCAAGTGGGAAGAAGCAAGTGCACATGAAAATATATGCAAAAAAAACCTTTTAGAATGTATTTTGATGTGGCAACAGAAACCAGACAGCTAGATTACTAGATTTAGTCAATAAAATAAAGTAGGAGTTAAATATGCAAATGCTAAATGAAATTAGCACAGTGAGGAACATATGTTATCTCGCTAGGTGGCCTTAGGGTTGTCAACTTCTTTACTGACCTTTTTCTCATTTCAAGACACCCTTCTCTCTGGTGCTAGTTTTGCATGATTAAGGTTTGTCTTCTTAATATGGAAAACTATTCAAAGCAAAGCTTTTTTCAGATGGTACAGAATCTCTCTGAGGTGCATTGATATTACTTACTTGCTTAGCATTTGGGACATAAAGTTACTTAGAACTGCACCAACTTCGATCCTTCTTTAGACATGTCCACAGGGACTGTATTCAAAGCATCACTGAGCTGGGTTTTATTGACCAAGTTTCAGTGGTAAAGGCTCAAAAACACAGGAAAGGTGCTTAGAAGAGGGTAGTCCACCACCAATCTTCTCAATTCCAGTCCTTCCTGACACATTACATTGGCCTCCCTGGGTTCAGGGGGCTATAAATGCCTATTTACTAGAGGGAGTGATTTCTGCCAATTTAAGGGGGTTGTGTGTTCACTGCAATGGGTTGTATAATGTCCTGATTCTTTCTCCTGATATCAGTCAGTTGGACGACTGCGCACACAACTGCAATCATTCCTGGATAAAATGAATTTTGTGGCTCTATTTCAATCTGGTTTTCAGTTTGCTTTTGGACTGAAATTGCTCTGGCCACTCTGATGAATACCTTATGCCAGAAAGAGATATGGAGAAGTACAACCTCATTAATTTTTCCTAGATCTCTTTCTGACTTTTAGTACCATTGACCATGGTATCCCTCTGAAATGCTACCTGGGATGGGGTTGGGGCACTGGTTAGCAATGGGTGTTGCTACCTGAATACCAATTTTCCAAGAAGTTGTACTTGGAACCTATACTCTATTGTATGGCAGTTTTACTTCAAGAGCATCCCAGGCTCCTGTTTTATTCTCCATCAGTATATGAATCCAGCGAGGTCATCTGTGGATCTGGAGTGCAGGGTCATCAGTATTTTGCTTGCTTTATTCTTTGTAATGTCACTTATTTCATTTAATATACTAATACATGCTGTTAAATTTGTTTGCATTTGCATTCACCTCAAAATGTTCAACTATCTCAGAAATCTTAAATAATGGAAGGGGGCAGGGAGGAAACAGTTGGCCTACATTTTTCATGTTCACTGTCCTGGTTAGACCTACATCATCTGAAAAGGACAAGTAAACATGTTGCCATAGTAACTGGTGCTGCCTTGTTAAAATTAAATCAATTATGTAGAAAGGGTACCCTAGTGAAGCTTATTATGAAGGAAGCAGCTAATTGTTTTTCTTGCTTTTAGAAAGCACATTAAAATGCCCTTTCTGCTATTTTTTTCTTTAAAAATCAAGTTCAAATGCACCAAGCACATCACAAACTTAAGATAGGAAATATTTTGTTTTGCTGGCTCTTCACAACTAAAGTTACTACATATACTGCATGCATACTGTATACTATGTTTACTGTTGTAAACCACTCAGACAGCTCTGGCTACTGGGCCATATGGAAGTGAAAATAGCAGCAGCAGCAGCAGCATTCTTCCCCACTGGATTTCATATTTAGAATTCACAACTTGATACAGAAACTTCCATTTAATTAGGAGAAAGCTACTGGAATTTTACTCTAATATTCAAGGATAGTAGACAAAGGGAAATTGTATACAATATTAATTTCTTCTAGTTAGCTCAATCTACTTACCCACAGTTACTAGTAATCTGTTTTCCTGGGAGGATAGATTACTTTTGGAGATTACTTGGGGGAGTGAACCTGGGTAGCATCCTGTACACACTAGGCGGACCTGCTGCTAGCACAGCAGGAAGGAACTAAAAAAAGAGCAGAAATGCTCCTTTTTGGAACAGGGCAGGTCAGCAAGGCTTGCCAAAGTGAGTTCTGATGAACATTTCCTTTCCTACCTGTAGTTCCTTTATGAAACGCTTGTGCCCGACTGTGCGGGCAGGGGCTTTGAGCAGCAGTGCAGCTGCAGTATGAGGTACCGTTTACTCTGCGAATGGGCTCCTGTGCCAGTAGGAAAAGTGCTAAGCAGTGGAAGCACCACTGATTAAAAGACTGCAGGAGAGTTCAAAGAGGCATTCACCAACAAATCGTATTGTATTTTCTTTCCTTGACTAATGTAAAGTCCTTAGACAAGGGGCCATGTTTATGCAGTGGAGTGATTATGTGCACACTTCCAAAAATAGCATTTGCCTTTTCTGTTTAGTGCATTCTCCACTGGACCTGTTTCAGTGTGTTCATGGTTAAGCTACCCCAAGTGTAGTATAGCATCTGCCAGACTAAACAGCTGTCTCATTGGTTATCAAGTTATTATTTTTTATACTTCATAAAACACTCATCTAGTGCAAGGTTGATTCCAGTAAATCAACTCACTATCTAAACAAGTATTCATGTCGTGAGATTAATGCTGCTTCCACTATTACTATTAGTCAGGCATTTGCCAGTTTTAAGATGGTGTCCTTTATCATCTTCACTGGATTGTCTTCCCAGTGAGTCAGCTAGCCACTATCACTCCATTATGAACTGAAATGCCACCCAGCCCAGTTTTGTTAGATCTTGTCCATGCCACCTGGTACCCATTTGCTGGCCAGGATCCCCAGCTTTTATTCAAAAGCAACACAGCATTAGTCTGCCTTTATAAAATCTGAGAAACAAGAAGTTAGTGTTTTGTCCCAACATGTTGTGTGAAACAAGCTTCCTCCTGGTTTCCATTGTTGTAGCCATTATGGCAGAAGTGGTAAATCTGTGATACTCCAGATGTTCGACTGCAGAGCCCATAATTTCTGACCATTAATCATGCTGACTAGCACTAATGACAGATGAACATCTGGAAGGCTGTAAGTTCCTTCCCCCTGCAAGGGAAACCTAGAATTGACATACAACCAAAGTGGCAGAGTTGGGAAAACTCTAGTCATAATTTATTTGTCTAGAAATATAGAACTTCCTAGTTGCTCTTGAATTTTTTTTTATTTCCTTCCACCCCTGCCCCTTAGGATAGACCAGAGGCACAACTAGAAAACAACAGAGAACTCTCCAATTTTTATGCACCTATGTTTGAACTGTACTAAACAAAAGCAAGCAAAGAAAGGAATTTTCTTTCTAGCTTCAGTCTTTTCCATGTGAAAATTGGGATTTTTCAAATTTAAAAAGTTATTTTTACATTTTTGTCCGTACACCAGTATAGGCCATTATCTCCAGGCTGAGCAGTGGGTGGATGGGCTGTAAATAAAGGAGCATATCCTTTAACAGCTCTGCAATGTAATCTGCTGTGAATGTTGCAAGTTAAAGATGGGGCTAAGGGTGGGTTGGATCTCTAGCTGAAGACTACCTTTAAGGAACAGCCCTTAGTTTGCAGCAGAAGTTGATTTAGTTCAGTCCTCTGCAAGCAGATGCCCCTTAGATGTTTTGGACTACAGAGCCCAGCATTGCTGACCAATGGCTGACCCTCAAAACACCTGGAGGCGCCAGATTAGGAAAGACTGATCGGGTACAGCTGCTGTCTCAACCCCTCCCAACCCACATCCAACATTCAGTTCTATGTAGAAACTGTGTGCACCATTGTCTTGCATGCAGATGAATGGCACTGTTTAAAAATCATCAATTTTCTGCATTATGCAAGCTTATGTTACAGGAAAAATTAATCTGCCTGGATTCAGGGAATTAGAATAGGGTGACTCTAACTATAGCAGAAAACTGGTAGGAAATTAGAAACCCCTACCTATTCCTGGGAGGCTGAAAAAGTGTGATTTGCCCAAAGTGATTCAATTATTCCATGTCACAAGTGAAACTTAACCGCAGGGCTGTGAGAATTCTCCACAACCTTTTAAATCAGTTGAACAATACTGCTCAAACAGGAAGACACACCATTACAAAAGCAACAATCACAAATCAAATAACATTTATTAAAATATTAAAAACATAAGTGAGGAGAAAATAACTTAGGTCACATAGTAACACTGTTGATAGCATTAGACATAAATATTTAACATTAAGAGCCATCTTGAAGAACAAACATAGAAAAAAGTTGTTTAATGCAGGCTGAACTATACTAAGAACATGCACATTACCAAGCCGGGTGATATTTGGTCTACAACCCAGGATTAAAAACAGCTACTAAAGGCATCTCCAGGCAAAGCCATCTGCACTGCAGGCTAAATAAGGGAGTCAATGTCTGAAAAAACTAATAGTGTAGAATTTTGAGCAATAGTTGTTAATTTGGTCTGTGCTCCACATCAGTCCTGCTAATCCTCCAGTGTGCATTCTGATCAGTGGGATGAGATCACTCCAGTGTCTCAAGTCTACCTTGCAGGTTTTGAACATGCTGAAATCAATACTTTTTGATTTTTTTTTAAAAAAATCTCTTTCCGTATTTGCCAGTGATGCAATCGAACACAAGGGGAGGGGTCATAGCTCAGTATTATAGAGCATGCCTTACACATGAAAGGGGTCGTGTTCAATCCCTGGCATCTCCCAAAGGGACTGCAATAAAACCCTGGAGAGCTCTTCCAGTGGTGCAGAAGATGTAGCACCTGGACACTTCTGTCCTAGAACTCTCTCACATTAGACTTTTGATCTGTGTCACTAGGACTGATGGGATCTGGATTCAAACATCTGGAAGGCCATAGGTCCATCACCCGTGGGGTAGAAAATATTGAGTGAGAAGGACCAGTCTTCTGATGTGGAATAAGGCAGCTTCCTGTGTTCCTAAGATATAGCAGCACGGCAGATTAAAAAGCTATCCACAAGGTAGTCAAGAAAAAATAGCTTTTTAAAAGCTTCAGTGTTTGTCATAAAGAACAACCCTATCTGTTGAATTCCTTTTTCTTAAATGAAAATAAAACATTTTTAAAAGTTCAGAATAGATATTGCTCATCTTAGTATCAATTTCTCTCACAAATATACATACTTACACAAAGTTTAACTGGTAAAATCTAATTCACATTTCTGAAATCAAATACAGTTCTTTCATTACAAAATAATGAAGAAATAGTCAAAAGCAGAAATGCTGAGTACAGAGCACTGCATGAAGAAATGATATTAGACTATTCCATGTACTTAGATTAACATAAAATATGTTGGCTTCTTGGAAACAGTCACTTTTGCACTAAATTGATGTACAGAGAGGTCTTCAGGAAATGCATGCACCATCAGCATTGTATTCGCACAAAGGACAGATTTAATTGCAAGGTGATTCAAAGGATAGTACATAAGAGCTTCTTTTCCCTGAAGGGATTTTCAGATGCAGGCACTGGTATAATAAGGGGATCTTCTCCCATATGAGCATCACAGTATGCCAATAAATCAGCAGCAGCTTTGGATACCTAGAAGGGTTTTCAAAAAGCAAAAAATGGGACATGGGAAGAGATACGTAAAGCTAAGTATCATCACTATTACCACAGTGCCTATGAATTTATTTAAGCAGTTGGAATATTAACATAAAGCATCAGTCTGCACCAAGGAAAACTGAAATACAGTCCAAGCACACTGTTTTCCAATTCAAACTCAAAAATATGCAGCAAGTCAATGAATAAAGCATGCTCAGAGAGCACAGCATGCCTCCCATGTTCTGTTTATTAAACGGGCTAAGCAACTCTACATGTTCTACAGTTCAGTATGACACCTCATTCATCTCTCTAGGATTATGATAAATGCTTGAAAATGGCACACCACAGATGCTGAGGAGACCAAAACAAATACAGATTAATTTCTAGTAAGAAGAGTAAGTTCTATCTTGATAAAATTTTCACCTGATATTTTAGATGAGAAAACACTGAGGTAAGAATCTTCTTCATTAGCATCTCATATGGTTAAGGAAACAAAAGAAATAAGATACAGCAAATTTGTCCTTCCTTGGCTTGTAAGATGTTGGACTAGCTTGTTAGATTTTCTGTCCTAGGACCAATTGTCAGTGGTGCCTCTACAAAAGTTGGTGGTTGGATTTATCCACGTTGCCCCTTGTCACCAGTAATTTTTTATTTGACCCTCTGCTTCCAAATGATCAGCCTTTTCACTTAGCCGAGCATGAGTTTCTCCATATGCTGTTGGTAAGCAAAGATCTTATTCATGAATACCCCCATATATGAATTTTGGCTTTATATTAGTCTCACTGAAACACCAAATGGTACATGCTGATACAACTAAATGAAGTAAAATAACCTTACCTGGATATACCGGACATCTTTTGCACTAGAAAATGAAGAAAGGAGTGGAAAAGGCAAAGAAGCTAGTCTTATATGATGGTTAATTGCTTGATTGTGAGCCGCCTAGAGATGGCATACAAATGCTTTAAATAAATAAATAATAAATAATTCTGCACAACTTTAAAGCAACACATTAATTTTCTGTTGGGAGACTTACAACAATACAACATGGAACCACTCAGTTATTGGTGGTGCCTGGGCTGGTTTCCAAATCTTGCAATCACAATGAAACTACATCAGGATAAATGTGGGCTACATCAGTGGTTTTCAACCGCCTGTCTGTGGACCGGCATCGGTCCACCGGCATTTCCTGTTGGTCCGTGAAAGAGCCGCTGTCATGCTAATACAGGACAGCTGCATCCTGCTTGTCAGGACCTGTGCTCTTGTTGCCAATTCCCCACCTCTTCCTCAGCCAAGGAGGCTGGGGAGGGAAGAGGCAGCTCAATGGGAGCCAGCTGGGAGCTGAGCTGCATCAGCTCTGCCCAGTAAAGACCAGTTCTTTTCCTTTCTCTGCTGTGTTTTCTGCTGGGAAGGGAAAAGCTGAGGCAGCATGTGCTGAGAATGTTTTCTCAGCCAGTCTGTGCTGTTGTGTATGGGAGTTTGAGTAGGTGGTGTTCATTGTATTTCATTATTTAACATTATGAATATTATTGTATTATTGTATTAAGTAACTGTTTTTGTATTGCTCTGCTGTTCATATTGTATATGAATTTGTATTTGCTATGAGCAAAGTATTGCAGTTATATTAATTTTGTATTTTGCTATTGTAAATTTTTGATCAAGTATTCTTGAAAAGAAGCAACAGCAGATTTTGCAGTAGAATTTGAACTACATATTGCTCTCTAAAAATTTCAGTTGTATTTGATTACATTTAATTTCAATTATTTTATTCTTTTACTAGCATTTTTTACTGCTCAGTTTCTGGTTATTTTAGAGAATTTTCATCTTTTGGTACTATATTTAAAAACTAATACACAAAACACTGTATTATGTATATAATGCTTTATATTTCTGCCTCAGCAGTCCCCAAAATAATTTTTCTATTTTTGCTGGTCCCCAACTGTAAAAAGACTAAAAACCACTGGGTCAAATGTACCCTGGGCATGTCCAATTGCCCTGCAGCAGATGCATGTAAACCTCTAAAGTCAGAGACTTATGAACATCCAACGGCAAGGGCGAGGCGTGCTATTGCCAATCTCTACTGCCAGGACTTGCAAGCTGGATTTTATTCTAGATGGCTGTTTTTGGATACCTAGTTAAAGCTCCAAAAAGCGGGAGGAAAAGAGGCTATGGCACTGATAGGAATTGGCGTAAGGCCCTGGCCACAGCCTTCTCCCCACATGCGTAATACATACACATACCCTCCCATGTGATTCAAGATCCCACACTATTGGGTTTCCAACTCACATGGAGGCAAGTAAGAGTACAGTGTCCATGCACAGCCCCCAGGCCAGGTTACCATTTTGTACATGAAGAAGTACAAATGGGCTATGTAAGTCCCTCAGCAGGTGGCCATACACTTTAGACAGAAGTTCTATAGGTTTTACTCAATGTATCCTTGACTGTTCAAGTATTTTAATTAGGCACTCTTTTGTTCTACAAGCTTCTATTTGTTTACCCAGGATGTGGATGTGTCAAACAATGAGTTATTCCATTTCAGAGTCAAGTATTTGAGAAATGATTGCTGGATGTGAAGAATACTGCCTGAGTGAAATGACGCCTTCTAGCTCCATTATTTCTTGAAAGTTGATATACACGCCCTTTCTTCACCCGCTTTTATGCACTGCACACGTATATGTCCACAATCTCCACCTCCTTCCCTGGATGAAATGAATACCCAGAAACTACGTGTTATCAAACATTTGTGATTTAAGCAAGAGAGTTAGAAACCTTTGAAAGAACTGTGGAATTTTACCATTACTCTTTAGAGTAGAAGAAGTGATTAAAAACAGCCCAAGTTAGAACGTAATCCTGTTAGATACACCATAATTATAAGATTCAGTGACAGGAGAAAATGCTGCAATTACTACAGTCACCTTCCATGACAAGACAGACTTAATTACTATTCTCACAATGACACTCTATCTGCTTTTGGTTTCAGTCTAAAATGAGCACATCCACAAACATCTAACACTACTGCTGATCTCACAACACTTTTTAACATTTAACCACACTCTTGTGGCCTCTTTAAAAAGAGAGAAAGATCACAGATTTGAACTAACATAAGTTTCTTGATCAGAAGGTAGAAAGATTAGCAGCAGTGTTGACTTTCCATAGGTCAGGGGTGAAAAACTTGTGTCTTCCCCGGACATTTTGGCCTATAATTCCCATCATCCCTCACCATTTGCTACGCTGCACAAACTGATGGGGCACAAAATAGGCTGCATTCACACACCAGGTTGACATCCCTGCAGATCAGTTGGGGTGGTTTTCTGGTTCACTGAACAAACAACAGTAAGCCAAAGAGACAAGAGGGCTCACGGTGACTTGTCCGGTCCTTGGTCACCGGTACCTCAGTGTCCTTCATAGCAAAACCCACCTTGTCTCCATCTTCTCACTATGATCACTTCCCCTCTTTGATCACTGCCTTTCTTTTTCAGAAAAATCCAGAGTCTCAAAAATACATGATGAGTGTGATGGGGGTGTGCAGTTGCAGAAAACTGCATAACTGCATTCATAAGTTTTAAAATTATTATAATTGTTGGCCTTTCACAAATACCTTCTTGCATCTGTTCAATGTCTTCCGCTTTGGCTGGTCAATTACATTGCATGTTTCAGGAGCAGCAAAGAGGATTAAGCAACAGATTGACAAAGTAGGATTGCAAATAGGCTAATTTGTGCGTGATTACACAGTGTAATTGCCTAGCTGTCAACCAAAAATCACCAGTAAGAGGGAAAAAGCAGTACAGCAAAAGGTGCAGTTAACATCTTTTTTTTTTTTTCAAGTGGAGACTCAGAAATGCTAAAAAGGTGGAGGAGACTGAGAAATGTCAGTTCAGCACTTAACATCAAGAGGATTCTATAGCTAAGCGGGTGACACTGCTTTCCCCATTTGGTGCACCTAACTTTTTTCCCTTTTTCCCTTTACCAGTGCTTTTCCATGGCGAGCCAAGCAACCAGTCCCCTGCTACTTTATGCAAGTTAGCTTGTATTAGTTTTCTGCTTGTCAGTCTATCACCTACTTCAATCTGTTACCACATTGTCACTCCCTTTGACAGCCGAAACAGAAAATTCAACAAAGAAAGCTACATCTATCTGCCAGCCATAAGAGCATGCTAGTGCATTTGTGAAAGAGAGTAGAAAATGTAAAAAAAAAAAAAAAAAACCATTAACACAGTTCCACAATTTTCTGGAACCAACTTTTTTTTTTGCTCCCCTGGGTTCATACAACATGGCAATCCACTGTTGAAGAACCCATAGAACTAGCCATAGATTGTCAGTATGGCTTGTTGCTGAAAAACAAGTCACACTGTGGGAAGTAGTTTAAGTTTTGATGATACCATAACCTAGCATGGATCCACAATAATTGCCATGTTCATACCCAGTCATGAGGTCCACAAGGTGTCTATCCTTGCCATTGAGCATCTCCACACATTAGTTACAGAAATTATTTTATTTGGGCATTTTTATCCCATCCAATTATGTTGTGCATCTCTGGACAGCTTACAAATCAACATCCAATAAATACATATAAACCCAATTAATCCATAATAATCCACGACTGAGCATAAAACATAGTTAAAATATTTTAACATTGAAATTACAGGAAAATTCAAAGGTCTTGACCTGGTGCCAAAAAGCATAAAATGTTGGCACCAGGCAGACCTCTCTAGGGAGCGCATTCCATAGCCAGGGCGCCACTGCAGAGAAGGCCCTCCTCCAAGTATATTCTCCTAACCTCCTTCAAGGAGGATTCCCAGAGCAGGGCCTCTGCTGCAGATCTTAAGGGGCGGGTGGGCATGTAGGGAAAAAGATGTTCCTTTAGGTATCCTGGTCCCAAGCCTTTTAGGGCTTTATAGTCAATACCAGCACCTTAAGTTGGGCCTGGGCTTCAAAGGAAAGCCAGTGAAGCAGACAGAGGACTGGTGTTATATGAGAATAACGGCCGGTCCCGACAGCAATCTGGCAGCTCTGTTCTGAACCAATTGAAGTATCTGGGCCATCATTAAGGGGAGCCCCACAAAGCATGTTACAATAATTCACCCAGGAGGTTACCAGAGTGTGTGTCACTGTTGCTAGGCAGTGCTCGTCCAGGTAAGGACATAGATGATGGATCAGCTGAAGATGAAGGAAAGTGCTCCTTGACACCGCTGCCACCTGGGCCTCCAGGGACAGCTCCAGGTCAAGGAACACTCCCAAGCTGCAGACCCTGTCCTTTAGAGCAGGGGTCTCAAACTCGTGGCCCGCGGACCAATTGCCGGGACAGGCGGGGCACGGGGGAGGGGACCTGCGGCCTTCAAAGTGCCGGCGGCGCCTGGGCCAGCCGCAGGATGTGCGGCCCACCACCACCGCAGTGGTGGAATACTTGATGCGGCCCAGCCTCACCCAGACTCTACTTCCAGCAGCCCCCAGGTAAGTTGAGTTTGAGACCCATACTTTAGAAGGAGTGCAACCGCATCCAGGATGGCCAGAATCACTTACCTGAAAACCTGAACCACCTACCAAAAGGACCTCCATCTTATCTGGATTGAATTTCAGTTTATTGGCCCTCATCCAGCCCACGACCTCAGCTTGGAGTTGTCCTGCCACCACCCGCTCTAACACCTTGCCCAAGAATGGAATGTTGGCCACCAGTCTATAATTTCTCCTCCTCTCATGTTTTATTCATTCAAATTTTACTAACCTTAGAAGAAGATGAGGAGGAGGAGCAAGAGAAGAAATCCCTTACAGTAATATTCTGTAATGCTGAATTACTCTTTGGACCATATTGCTCTTCCCCTTTAAGCTATAGAAGTTGTGTGCATTATTATTAATATACAGTATTACATTTATACCTTGCTTTTCCTTTGAGGACAGTCACAGTGGCTTAGTGTGGGCAATCAAGCCTTGGCTTATTAAGCGGAAGTATAAACAAGTGATTTCCTTGTGCATGGATCCCCTTTGCATGAGTCATAATTAAATCAAGAAGTCTCAAAGTATAGTTTTGTGTTTTGTCTACATGGGAAGCTATAGTTACCAAATTGTAGATATTAAATTTTGCTTTAATATCATGGCTTGTTATAAAGTTGGTAATTACAGTTTCCTGTTGTGGACACAATGAAAAACAATCACACTAGGGTTGGGATGAACCCTATCAGAATTTGTCACTCCAAGCATTCATGGACTCTCTCTTCTGCTCAGTCTGGCCTTCCAAAGCAAGCTGAGACAAGAGGAAGTCCACAAATGCTTGCAAAAACCCAGTTGTATAACCAGCAACCTTCTTCTGCTACAGCAGCTAGTGTGAAAGAGGGATGCTGCTTGTGGAGCAAGTGCGGCTGGGCTGCTTTCTTGACAGGCCCTTCACGAGCAGACCTTTCTTTGGCACTCACACAGCAGCTGTTCCTGGCACCAGAGAGGGGCTCTAACCTTGCAAACACAGGGAGCACTTGCCAGTAACTTAGAATCATAGACTAGTAGAGTTGGAATGGGCCATGAAGGCCATCGATTCCAACTCCCTGCTGTTGCACCATCTCACTCAAATGGCTGTCCAGATACACCTTGCATGTCTCTAGTGTGGGAGAGCCCACCAGCTTTCTAGGCAGCTGGTTCTACTGCCGTATTGCTCTGACAGTGAGGAAGCTTTTCCTGATGTCCAGCCTGAATCTGGGTTGCCACAACTTGATTGATTACGCTCTGGCATCAGCAAGAAGACATCTTGACCTTCCTTTTTGTGACAGCCTTTGAGGTATAGAGGGATATCCTGTGCCCCCTCAGTCTTCTCAAGGCTGAACATGCCCAGTTCACTCCGTCTCTCCTCATAGGGCAGTGTTTCCAAAACCTGGATCATTCTTGTTGCCCTCCTCTGGATCCTTTCTAATTTTCCTGCATCTTTCTTAAATCTTGGTGCCCAAAACAACACAATATTCCAGATTCCAGACTAGTGAGAAGGTATAGAGGAACTACTACATCTTGTGATTCGGAAGTAATACTTCTGTTAATACATCCGAAAATACTCATAGTATTTGCCCTTTTGGTGGCTGCATCACATTGTTGACTCATATTTTGCTTATTGTCCACAATTACTCCAAGATCTTTTTCAGTATAACCGGACACAGTATTCCAGGTGAGGTCTGACTACCAAGGAGTATAGAGAAACTACTAGTTTTCATGATTTGGAAGTAATACTTTTGTTAATGCATCCCAAAATAGCATTTGCCCTTTTGGCAGCTGTATCACATTATTTGCCTATTTTCCACAGTTACTCTGAGATCTTTTTTCTTTTTCAGTTCTTTTCAGCCATGTATTCCCCATCTTGTATTGATGCACTTGGTTTCTTTTTCCTAGGTGATGAACTTTGCACTTGTCCTTACTGGGCTCAAAGCAAACTCATTCTGTTGCTTTAAGCCCAATGTTCAAGTTTATCAAGATCACCCTGGATCTTCATTCTGTCTTCTAGGGTGTTTGCTATTCCACCCAGTGTTGTATCATCTGCAAATCTGATTATCTTTCCTTGTATTTCCTCATCTAAATTATTAATAAAGATGTTGAAGAGCACTGGGTCCAGGACTGAACCTTGTGGCACACCATTAGTTACTTCCATCCAATTTGACAGATGGACAGATTCCTTCACAGACAGATTCCTCACACATTCCTAATCAGCTCACTGTGATTTATTAAAGCCATGGTGGGTCGTGAAACATGCTGGTTGCCCACCTGAATATTCAAGCCAATGTGAATGGCTATTGTGGCTCACTGTATCATGACAATCCACCGTCAAAGCTGACTTATTACCCTTGAATAAACCACAGGCTTTTCAAAATTATGTGAGGGTTTATACATGAAATAGTGACTGTGTTTTGCATAATACATTAAATAACTGGAGAGGTGGTCTGAACATGTCATCTGAATTGTCCCTTCTGAGCCCTGGTTGCACTATACCACTGAGCTTCTGGAGATGTACCACCAACAAATAACACAAACTCCCAACCTCTTTCCTCTTGATTAGGCCCAGTTTCAGTTGCCGAAATGCAAAGAAAATACCCAGCAAGTTGTGTGTTTGTCATTGGACCATCACTCATTCAGCTTGTGCTATCCTTAACATATTATTGCAAGCAAGCTCCCCTTTGTGTGGCAAACTGAAAAGACTTTAAAGACCTTCAATTACTATTTAGTTCAATGTAGACAAACTAAATTGTACTCTGAAAAGGATGCATCAAGTCTGACATTTAATATATCTGCTAACCACCCCTGGGAGTGGATATAATCTACTTTTAACTCCATTAAGAGGAGGCCTCTGTCAACAAAGAACAACCTTTATGTACCAGAAGAGGTGACTATAAAGCTTGTCAAGAAATAATTTAGGTGTAATCTGATCTTCCAGAAGCCAATGATCCACTGATTTTAAAGCATGCATGGTGCACATTGTAAGTACTGACAATATGCCTTTCATTTGAGAATAAGCAGACTGACATTTATTCCCCTAAGAATAAGTATAGCATCATAAAGTAATTTGATTTAAATTCACCTTTATCCTGTCCAGATATGCCTCCATCTTCAACTGCTCCACGGCTTTTCTTGCTTGAGATATACTTGTCGTACTGTTGTTTGACATTACTTCCTTCGTTCCGTTTTTCCTAGAAGAGCAAAAAATGGCATTGCAAGAAATTGGTTTTCCAAGTTAAAAAAGATATAAGCACATCCTAGTCATATTTCCTTCCTTATTATCTTTTCTTTCATTTCAAAAATAAGTCCTTGGTAGCACTGTATTTGCTGCTCGATTCTCATGTCCCAGTTTCTCTCTACAAATGCTCTTCCCCAAAGTGTTTTATTACATCTAATATACATTTTGCCCAAGAGCAAAACATTACATACGGATAAGCTGCTGCCATTTCTGTGTACAAAAAGCTGCCATATCAAGCAGTCATCGTAAGGTATTGTTAGAGGCTCAGAGAACCACCCAGTTCTCGGGCAGTGGCTAGCATGACGATCAATACCCATCATAGCAGGTTGCCACTTGAATTTTCCACTAAGACTGTGAACCTTACTTAGGAGTAAGTTCCTCTAAAGTCAGTGGATGAGTTTGTAAAACATGGCAGCCCACCCTACAAATAATTAGCACAGGGTGGGTTGTTCATGAAACAACCCATGGTGTGCCTGACAGATGATTTGGCTCACTGTGGGTTGTCCTTATCTTTCCCATCTCAGTCCTTCTGAGGGTATCCCAGGATATGGCAAGGAGATATATTGTCTCCTTTCCCTACTGCAACCATGGACACTTTTAGGGTCATCACAACTTTTTTCCTGCTTTACCTCCCCCTCACCCCCACTCCAAAGATCCGTTTTTGCAATCACTGAAGTGACTGCCACAGACAGCCCTTTTAAAGTCCTACCCAAGCAAGAGATTGGAACAGCAGTCACTGGTTTGCCACCCTCGTCTTCTTTTTCAACCAAGATATGTACAAATGTTTTGGCTATTTTGTGTTAGTTTGGGACATGCTTTCAGAAGTGCTATTCAAAGTGGGTAACCTTGCCTCCACAATGACCTGTCAAATGAGAACTGAGGCTGCAAAGGGATTTGCTCAGGACTGAAATGGCAAGCAGATCACCTTTCTCACCTGTGGTTAGAGAAATGCCTGGGGACTTCGAAGATCTAGTCTTCACTCAGCTTGCTAGCTGACTTTGCATCAGTTATGGATTTTTCAGCCTAACCTACTTAACAGGGTTGTTGTTGTAAGGATAAAACAGAGAGGAGAAACTTGTAAGATACCTTGTGTTCTTTGCAAGAAGAAGAAAGGTAGGGTATGTATGTAATGTGAAAATAATAATAATAAGTGCTCAGGAAAGAGGAAAGGTGTGAATCACTCCATTTAGAGCATTTTGCCAGGGCTAATTAGGGTTTCTGACAGGGACACACACAGCCATGAAATCTGTCAAAGGAAAACAAAAACAAAAATATTTCCATAAATTATAGGTGAAAAAAATGCCCAAACTGGATAGTGAACCAGTGGAAGACTCTCTAATCTGCTGCAGCAGGTACTTTGGACACTCCGAAGAGTCTGCTAAGAGCTGTCACTCTGAAGATCACCAAAAAAACAAAAAATCTCTGAAGGAGGGAAAAAAGATTAAACAGGAAAAAGTTATGACAACCACAAAAGGGGTCACTGTTGATCTGGGGGAGACCAAGCAGTCATGATTGCTCTAAAGTACTGTTGGGCGCTTCATGGAATGGAGATTGGTCCCCAGCTTTTGGTCCCTGAGAGGATGCCTTAGGATTATTTCAGGTTTACATTTTAGAAGATCAGCAATTTCACATTTGAATTCTTTAAGAACTCTAGGACAGATACCATCTAGGTGATTTATGCACTTTCAATTTATCAAGAAGGCTGAAAATGTCATCCTTTGCTACCCGTATTTGCCTCAGTTCCTCAGATTCCCTTCCTGAAAACATACGTATATGTCTTGTATCTTCTGCAGTGAATTCCAATGAAAAGAATTTGTTCAGTAGACATATACAAAATTGCACTGCACATCTACTGCACGGGGGAGTATGAGCACAGTGCTGTATGAATTTTCTGGGGTGAAGAACACTGAATTGTTTTTATCAGCTCATAGTTTTGAAAGAAATTTTTGACTCTCTTAGGATTTGTTTTTAGGTTTCTTAAGCCTTTTAAATCATGCATTTCTCATTCAACTGGAGTACTGGGCTGCCACTATGTGGAAAAGTATAGCTTCCTAAAGCAAACAGATACAGTGGTACCTCAGATCACAAACTTAGTCCGTTCCAGGACTCTGGTTGTGACCCAAATTGGTCGTAAGCCAAGTTAAATTTCCCCATAAAGTTCAATGTAAATAAGGTTAATCTGTTCTGTACCTTTTTTTTTAATTAGTAAAATGTGAAGCAAAGTGACGAAGAACAACAAAGATCGTAGCCATCTCCCCCCTCCCCAGCATGACCGTGATGGCACCCGTCATCCCTGCACATGCCTGTCATCGGCGCGCTGGGGGGCGGGGGGAGGGACGGGCTTGATCGCAGGCATGCTTGGTGGTGGGGAGATGGGCGCGATCGTGCTGGGCGGGGAGATGGCTGAGATCGCGATTGCGCTCCTGCAGGAAAGACAGGTGCAAACTTGGCCATCTCCCCCCCGTGCCCCCAGCATGATCTTGGCCATCTCCCCACTCGGGGGGGGGGGGGGGGGGGGGAGATGGCTGCAACTGTGGTTGCCACCCAATGTGGAGTTCGCAACTTGAGTCAAAATGCTTATGAAATTTCTGTTCGCGACCCGATTTGGTCGTGAACTGAGGCATTCGTGAGCTGAAGTACCACTGTGCTTCCCAAACTACAGCTTCCAGAATGGGACAAGTCAGAAGGGAATGCCACTGCCTTGTCCCATTCTGGAAACAATAGTTTGAGGATAGTTGTGCTAGCAAGCACTACTTCCCCATTGTGCTAGTCATCATTTCTGGTAGTTGAGAGATGGCATATTGCCAACACTGGATCGTGCACAATGTAATTCAGCTATTCAAAATATCTTTAGGGTACCTTTTAGGGCAGAAACCCTTCCAAGACAGCCTCCAACATATGAAAATGGAAGTACTAAAAGCAAACAGTAATACTAAAATTAATAGTTTTATACTAATACTTTGTCTCTGTGCTCTATTTTGTAATTTCAGGTCAGGAGTAGTAATGTAAATTTTAGACTATTAGCAAAATACTGCTTAAATTGTGACTAGTTTGCCTATGCTTTCTCCCTCATTTCCCAGGGCTTTAAACTCTGGGCCTGCATTTCTGTTTTCTTGTTAAAATTGAGAATATGTGCCATTTTGTCTCTCTGTTTTGCCTAAAATCTCTAATAGTAGAGTTTGGCAATCCCTGCCTCACCTGACTAACTAACCTGAACTGGCTACTGCTTTTGTCATGGAAATCCAAATCCATTAGGAAGGTGGAACCATCTTTCTGAATAATTCCTGAGTGGCTACAATGAAAAGGGGTGCACTGAAACAGCACTCCATTAATTGAAACTACATGCAGCCTCAGAAAGGGTCACTTCCACTGGTCTCATAAATTCTCATAAATGCAGCACAGGCCAAGTGCTTGGTTGTCTTTGGAAACTCCATGCCCTGAATATCAACACTCTATGTGAACAGGAACAGAAGGTTTGAGCTATCCTAGCAGCTAAGTTCATGTTTGGCAATTCCTATAACTGGATCAAGTATTGCAAGACCCACATAATTTTTAAGAATTACTGGAGGTTACTGCTTCCACCTGCTGGCCTGTGTTTACATCTTAAAAGAGCATTTGAAAGATTCCATTTCACTGCCATCATCCTTGGATGAACCATAAGACTAAAAAACATAGGCTGGGCTCACCCTGCGTGGTTACCACAGTTTGTGATTTTCTACCTCAACGTGCCTTAATAGGTGATCAGACTCATGACAGTGACTTTTCTACTCCCTATCATCTCCTTCCCCCCCCAGTCCTCCAGATGGAATCCCAGCAGACACAACGAGGAGGAATGAGGCCCCTCTCTTTGACAGCCACAACCGTGAGCCAAGTTGAGCTTGCTGCAGCTTTCGATCACTCTCTACTGCACCAATGGGGTTCCCGCCCTAAAGCACAGCAGAAGGAACTGCGGGAGCGGGGGGGTCCCTAACCTGTGCTCAGGCAAAAAGGGGCGAATTATGTAGCTAGGCAGAGCTGTGAAGAGGAGACTCATAGAATCATAGAATAGTAGAGCTGGAAGGAGCCATGAGGGCCATCAGGTCGAACCTCCTGCTGTTGCAGGACACCAATTTACACCATCCCACTCAGATGGCTGTCCAGCCCTGTTGAGTGGATACCCTGCTGCCCCCTTCACATGTGCATGGGAGGGTGGAGATGCAGCTGGAGGACGATATCCACTTGCTAGAGAAGCATTCCCAAACCAGAGCCTGTCAAGCACACAGCAGGCTGGAGAAGCCTCTTTGGCAAGTGGAAGCAAGGAAGAGGGGCAGTGGGGGAATCAGCTGAGCTGTGCTCTCCCACCTGGGCACTGCTGCCCAGCCGATTCTTGCCCCCACCCCAGCACTTGTGCACATGACAGGCTTCCCTCAGTGGGGGAACAGCTGAGTAGCACTGCTCCTTTTGACAGCACCGTACAGCTGATCACCCACTTTGGGATCTTTGGGCCAGGAGGCAGGTGGTGTACTTAGCCAGAGGAGCAATGGCACTCTGGTTAGTGCCTCTCTCATTTGGCTTTTGTGCCACAATGGATTGTTTTTTCTAGGGTAGAACTTCACAACAAGCTATGGTGGTACAAAGAAACAAAAAAAGGGAGGGCATTGTTTCTGTCCATGGTTTCTAAAGACCACATGTGCCACACTGAAATCCCTTGACAGGGTTCAGATGACATGACAGACCAACAATAGTAAACTCATAACCTTTCAGTGGCACATCTAACACTTGAGAACAAAGTGGGAAGTTTCGACATTGCAGATATCCTGTTTTTTTAATCAATTAGTATTTTATTACTACTGGTGATGTTTGAATATGTAAAACATATCCCAGTGTGTAGGGGTGTTTTGGGGAAATGACAACCACCTTGACATCCACATTGGAGTTTTCCTGGGGGTGGAGGGTTTGACAACTTAATGTAACTGAAAGAAAATGACACCTGGAGACTAAACTGAATTGTTATGAACCACCCAAAGAACTTCAGCTATTGGGCAGCAGAAATAATAAAGCAGCCGCCACCCCCGCCCAATTTTGGGATATGGTCTAAGGGTCTGGCTGCAGGACTAAATTACATTTTTGCCTTGGTATATCTATTTTCAAACACTATGTGAGAAAGACTATAGACCTTAAATGTTCCAGTGTATTGGACTGTATTACCTCTTCAACAAACATAAAGCAACAGTACCCACTATTCCATTTTGTGCTGTTTCTATGGTTCTTATTTTCAATTATCAGAAAACCTGATAGTTTGAAGCCAGAGTAAAGCTATCTTGAGTTGACTCATGTTCTACAAAGCCAGGAAATTGAAATCTAAGAGATGTACATACCTCTGTGCCTCTCTCAGCTCTTGCAGGTCACCCTCCACCAACAGTCTAAAGAGCTAAGCAACTTCAGATAGGTAGTCATGCATGTGAAACTGCAAAGCACAGGATTTCCCTGATTGGGAAAAAGCACTTTTCTTGATGTAAGATTAAAATATTGATCTTGGGAGAGGTCTACAGAAAGTGGCAGAAAGTTAATAACAGAAATAAGACCTTAGTGTGTAACTACTACCTTGCGGTTTGCCTGCCGACTTATTTTGGACAAAAGAGGCCAGCCAATATATGTGTATCTGCTTATATTTGTATTTGAGAGGCCACATATGTGTGTGAGGGGGAGAAGAAAACTGCCATGGAAGGGGTCTTTGCATGCATGGTTAACAGCCCTGTAATGATACATGGAAACAGCCTGCATCTGTACATCAGAACACAGTGGTCTTGCCCAATTCACCACAAGAGCTTTTCAGCAGCCAATCACGGGATGCTACTTGGCCACCAGGAAGACCCTGAAGATGGAGAACTGAGCCCCCATGAAGGCAATTATTTCCCCTCCCAAATAACAGTGAATATGGAGCTCAGCCCCACCTTGCTGCATAATAACCCCTGTGAATCCCCTGTGCATAGTTCCCCCAGAAACTCTCTTACACTATTTTCCCTTCTTTTCATTAATTTACTGAGAACAGAAACTACATTTGGCTTTAGTTCTACAATAATGGGGGACAGTAATAATTGAGCACTGTAAACCCTCAGAGATCTGTTTAGTAATTTAATTGAAAATGTAAGAAAATAAGAGACCTGCTGGTTCAGACCAAAGGCTTATTAAGTACAGCTCCTGTACTGACCAACTGGATGCCTGTATCGGTCCATTCATTTTCCCTGGCAACTACTATTTGAACAGCCCTTGATTGTTCAAAGTAGCATATGGACAGCACACAGTCACTGTGACTAGTAGCCACAGCCCTAACCTTCATGAATGGAACAAATCCCCTTTTAAAAGCTATCCAGGCTGGTGATTGTTACCACATCTAATGGCAGTGAATTCCATAGGTGCACTATGTGAAAAGGTATTTCTTTATGTCTGTCCTGAATCTTCAACTATTCAGCTTCATTGGTGACCCTACATTCTACTATTTTATGAAAGTGAGAGAGGAAAAACCTCCCATATCTAGCCACTTTGTCTATACTGAGCATAATTCAGTAAACCTCTACCATATCTCCTCTATATGTATTGTTTGTCCTTCCCATTTCTCATAATAATGCTTTTGTTGTGCCAGTTTTGTCCTTTTCATCTCACAGAAGGCATCATAGCACTTGCTACAGTGCAAAATTCTATTTACACTCCAAAAGCGACCAAAGAGGATACTAACAATATTGCTAATATTGCAGACATATCAAAGTTTTTGATCAAGCCTTTAGATGATAATTAAAGCAAGAAATATCTGCTTTTGATATAAATTCTTCTTGGCTGCTAATGCAACTGTATTTATTTTGAACAAATTTTCCCTTTCTTTCACATAACTGTCTCCACCTATGTACAGGTAGTTCCAGAGTTACAGACAAGTTCCGTTCCTGAGAGTGTCCTTAAGTCAAATTTGTATGTAAGCTGGATCACGAGTCAGCCAAATGTTTGTCTTAGAATAGGTATATATTTTACTTTTCCATGCATATGAAACACTTAAGAAGTACTTCCATATTCACTAAAATATTTTAAACACAGCATTGTAATAATAATAATACAGTAATAAGGTAACTACACGTACTGAAGAGACAGAATCTGTATGTATGTGGGTAGGTATACAGTATTGAAAAAAATTGTCGTAACTTGCCTCTTATACCTGGCTTAAAGTATGTTTGGCTTTCATTGCTTGTCCGGCTTTAATTTTAATGTAAGCCCAACAGAAAGTGGCTCACCAGTCCCTCGTTATCTCCCAAAGTTTTCTGATAACGGGCTGCTAGGGCAATATAGCCCGATGCCTGCTTATTACATTCAAAACACTTTAATCCATGGCGAATTAGTCTCAACAGGTCCATGTAGAGGGGCAGAGCTGGCTGAGCATTTATTGAGCTTCCAGTTGCAATTCCTGATAAAGCGCAAGGCTTATGTAGAAGAGGGGGCAAACATGCAGTCTGAGGTGTTGAAGAGCTTGTTGGAGAAGGTGAAAACATTTGGTCTAAAGAAATAGGTTTCCGTGACTATCTCTAGAGAACTATGTAGCCACTGAGAGATACATTGCCAAGCATGCTGCATAGTTCCCTACAGATATTCACGGCTTTTCCCTAGAAACAGAGATTTTCTAGAGATATTCATATAGGGTTCATGGAAGTCCACATGTTCGTTAAGTACAGGTTGTTCATAAGTCAAACATTTGTAACCCAAGACTACCTTTATTACAATAGCACCTAGCATCTGGATTTTCCCAGTGATCTGGGTAGACAAGAGGCTATTCTCATAGCACAGACTGGATAGTAGGCTACATGTGTGAAGTTCTGAACGCATTTTTTACAAGCCTAATCAAGATTAGGAGTACTGAGATCTAGATTCTTTTGATTGTTTTGACCAGCAGACTGCAAGGGGTTAATTAATATACAACACTGACACACTGCTAATCTGCTTTAGCACCCCGTCATTCCTTAAGGGAACACTTAAGAGCCTGATTTTATACTGAGTCCATTTCAGCCCAGAGATTTAAAAACTGACTCCAAGAGCATGAAAATACTGCTTATGTATCTGAGCAAGTACAGAGTGCATACCATAGAAAAAACACAGCCCATCCACCAGTTCAGACACACTTACATCACACACTTATTTCCAGCTATTAATTATTTTCCTTTGCAAGTACACAAAGGTTGCTTCCAGGAGAGACTTTTATTGCACCAACATCTTGCTTCACTCACAGAATTTTAGCTTTGGTGGCGGGGGGGGGGGGGGGGAAGCATCTTCCTTTTGTATCTGGTCTTTTCCCACTGATTCCTTAGCTGCTCTTTCTTTTAACCACACAAACTCTTAAAGTGGAGAAAGATGGAGTAACTGCACGGGGCCTGCTGACTTAATCACACCAAGGACCATCCTTTTGGGGCGCCTCGAATGAGGCAGTTCTCCTGCTATCGCCTTGCCTCCTTAGGAGAATTTCACAGGGGTTCCAGACCACAGCATCTTCCACTTGTAAAACCTCCGGGTTTTCCCGACGCTTCTTGCGTCTTTTTTCTTACTGCGAAAAAATCGTTAAACAGCGAGCATATCCGCTGCTTTGTGACTATCAGCCCTCGACCCGGAGGCACCCCCCAAAAAAAAGGAACAAAGGGAGGAGAGCGGAAGATACTGTTCTTTTCTGGGGTAACTAACGCGTCCTCCCCCACTCAAGAACTGCCTCGCAAGTTGCGGATAAGCCGCGTTTATTTAAGACTCCTCTAACGCGCGCAAGCAATAGATGGGCACTCCCTAGCAAGCAGAACCCAACGCCAACAGTCGACGCGCACACTGCGCGAACACGCGTTCCCCGCGAAGAGCTTCGGCGCCCCGCGCCCGTCGCACAGAGCGCCCTCCTCGTGCGCTGCTCGCGGCGCCGGTCCGTGGCCGCGCGGCGCATTCCTGGACCGCGCTGCAGCGGTGCCTGACCATCCACGCGAGCACCCTGCGAAGACTCACCCCCTGCGGAAAGAAAGCTAGAGGCTCCAGCCGCCGGAGAAAGCGCGAAGCCACAGCAAAGCTCACGCCGAGGGGACGGCCGCCACCGTGGGGGGGCTGCACATGTCTGCGGGGCTCCCCGGTCCTGCTGGCGGCGAGAAGGCGAGAAGCGACGCGGGGGCGAGGCTGGAGAGCGCGACCTGCCCGCCACGCCCCCTGGAGTCGCCCTCCTCCCGGAAGAAGCCTGAAGGCCGCTGGCCCACTCGCCCTGCGCAGCGCCAGCCACGCCGACCCCTCCGGTGGACGGCAAGCCTGGAGGAGCCCACTTCGGGCGCACGCGCCCCGTGTCCCCAGCGAGGAGGAATTCCAGCCCGTGACGTCACGGGGCGGAGCCGCAGAGAACCCGCGAGCGCGCTTCGGCTTTCCAGGCTGCTCGACACGCTGAACGAATTAGGGTTTGACGTGCCTCTCCAACGGCGCTCAGACTGCGAAACATCGAAGGCTGAGAGACGCGCGCGTAGATGTACCGCGCGCCTGCTCCCTGTAAGAGCGGCCAGCGGCTCCCCACCCATCCAGCAGCGGTATCAGCAAAAAAATAGAAATCACTCGGTTTTTTTGACAGATGTGCACAGTGCCAGGATGAATCTAGGAATTGCCTCGACGAATTGCGACTCGTTGCGGTGAGGTGAGTATTACTGTAACGTATGAATATGCGCTCCTGCCTATCGCTCCAACTCAGAAAGCCTCGTGTAGCTCCTCTGACAAGTTCCCTTTAATACATTTTCTGTGATAACAAAATGCAGGCATGCGAAGCAGTGTAGGAGAGTTACAAAAGGAAAAGGAGGTTCAGATCCCTTCCAAAATGCCATAAACAAGGGAGAATGATGGCAGAATAGAAACTTCATCTAGAAGCACCAATTATGCAAGCATTTCCATCCTTTTTGGGTTTTTTGCAACAGCATGTGAGGGCTTCAAAATGATGGTGTCATCTGGATCCATTATAAATGTTGGAAGCCCTCATATAGAGTAGTTTTAGGACTACTAATCCACAGCTTTCCTGCTGTCATTCTGTTGTTTCTTCCATACCAATTTTCTATGGTAAGAAAAAAAGTGATGGGCAAACAAGGGAAGGTTACAAGTGGAGGGTCTTGTTGCCTGAACTTTTCATAAATTTGCTTAAATTAGGCAGTGCATTGCACAGTAAAAACTTCACCTGGTTCACTTTTGCACATGAAAACAGGAAAAGGGATGAGCTGCGATTGTGGGTTTAAAGTTGATCAGGCTCATGGTGTCTGTGTCAGAAACAGTTCTTGATTTAACAGGAAAAGGTCATCCTATCTCAGTCTATAATTTTAACATGACAAGTGAGTGAGTAAGAGCTGCTTCACACTTTGGTAGGAGTCATGTTTGCTAGAGCTATACAGATGGTTCCCATATTAGATACAAAGAAGTGTGAAGGACAAGTGTTCCTAAATATGTCACAGCAAGACATGAAACCCAGGGGCCTTAGCACATGTTTAACATCATGGGTTTCTCAAAAGTGTATCTATTATTTATTTTATATCCCACCTTTTTTCTGCAAGGAACCCAGGGCAGTTTACATAGTACTCCTGCTTCTCCCCCTTTTAATCCTCATAGCAGTTCTTTGATGCTGAGAGTTGGTGAAAGTCACCCACGTAGCTTCATGGCCAAATTGGGGCCTAGAAGCCTGATCTCCCAGGTCTCAAATCCATACTTAAGCCACTACACCACACAGTTTCTCTTTTCACATATACTATAAAAACGAATTGACCAATTTATATAGCCATGGCAGGAAATTAAATCCAGTCCTGAAACATCCTTACCTCAAGCTGGATTAGCAGGTTAACACCAGCTGGACACCACTTGTGCCACTCTTTCATTCAATTTACTTCTGTCTGTCTCTCAGAAACTTGGCCTTCATAATGCTTTGGCAGCTCACTTCAAACCCCTCTTTGGGGTTCTTTCATTTCCCAGACACACAGTCAAATCTTTGATCCTTTTGTTTCATCATCATGTGCTAACCCAAGTCATTGTGACCCTGTTTTATGTGCATAACTTCCCTTCCATGGGAATCCACCATGGACAGATTTGTTTGGCCCTTAATTCCAAGATCAACCTGGGGTTTTCCTAGTTTCCAACCCATATTCATATTTCATGGGTTGGAAACTAGGCTCCTAAACATCTTGCTAAAGGATTTCAGAAGCCAAAGGTCCTTTCTTCTTTGCTCTTCACCCAGGGCTCCCAGGTGATGCTCATGAGAGCCCTAGCAGCTGCAATAGATTGGGAGGAGTAATCAATTCTGCAACTACCAGGGTGGCTATGTCGGTCCTTGGCTAGTGGATGGAGCCCTGAACCTGCTCCTGATCCTGCTAATCCCTAGGTAATTGGTTTCACTGTCTTACTGCTCTAACAGTCAGGAAATGTTTCCTGATATCTAGCTGGAATCTGACTTTCTGTAACTTGAGCTCATTATTTTGTGTCCTGCACTCTGGGATGATAGAGAAAAGATCCTGTTTTCTTTGTGGCAGCCATCCAAGTACTTGAAGAGTGCTATCATATCTCCTCAGACATCTCTTCCCAAGGCTAGACATGGCCATTTCTTTTAATCTCTCCTCATAGGGCTTTGTTTCCAGTCCCCGGATCATCCTTGTTGCCATCCTCTGAACCTGTCTAGCTTGTCTGCATCTTTCTTAAACTGCGGTGCACAGAACTGGACATGGTACTCCAGAGGCCTCACCAATGCTGAGTAACGGAGAACTAGTACTTTACGTGATTTGGAAGTGATACTTCTATTAATGCAGCCCAAAATAGCATTTGCCCTTTTTTTCAGCCATATCGCATTGTTGACTTATTCAGCTTGTGATTGACAACAATCCAAGATTCTTCTCACTTACAGTATTTTTGAGTAGAGTGTCCCTCATCTTGTAACAGTGCATTCAGTTTCTTTTTCCTGGGTGCATTTGTCCCTATTAAATTGCATTCTGTTATTTTTAGCCCAGCACTCCAGCCTGTCAAGATCACTTTGAATTTCGTTTATGTCTTCCAGGGTATTAGCTATCCCACCCAATTTTGTGTCATCTGCAAATCTGATAAGCATTCCTTGCACTTCCCCATCCAAATCATTGCTGAAGAGCACTGGGCCCAGGACTGACTCCTGTAGTATTCCACTTGTTACCTCTTCCCAGTTTGAGAAGGTGCCATTGATGCACTCCTTTTGCGTCCAATCCTGTAGCCAACTGTGGATCCACCTTATAGTTGTTAAAATTAGCCCACTTTTAACAAGTTTGCTGATCAGGCTATCAGGGGGTTATATTCCCCACAACAGTCAGAATTCAAGGAAAAATCAGGTTTCAAGATTCTCTATTTCAAATTCTAATTTTCAAACCAGATTAAGTTTGGCTTGGCTTCAGGGTTGCTAATTATAGTAGCCAATAGTGGCTTGGCTGCCTGTTGGTCTCCACATCATCCCCAGTATCCTTGGGACTGAAACAGCATCAGTTGGCCTGGTGGGTGGTATGTGTTGCAGAATGGACAGGGAGAGTGCAACGCTAGTCCCAACTCACAGAGGATACCATGGTCAATGGTATTGAAAGCCAATGAGAGATCAAATAGAATTCACAGGGTTGCACTCCCCCATCCCTCTCCTAATAAGATCAGGGTGCCTAAGTTTGACTTGGTCTCATAAACCATGTTTAAACTCAGACCAGAATGACCACTATCCTCCAAAGAGTACCTGCAGTTGCTCCATATGCATACTCATTTGAAACTGGTCAGTAGTTGTCATTGGGTCTAGAGCAGGGGTCTCAAACGCAACTTACCTGGGGGCCGCTGGAAGTAGAGTCTGGGTGAGGCTGGGCCGCATCAAGTATTCCACCACCGCAGGGGTGGGGGGCCGCTCATCCCGCCGCCGGCCCAGGCACCGCCGGTGCTTTGAAGGCCGCAGGGCCCCTCCCCCGTGCCCCGCCCGTCCCGGCAATTGGCCCACGGGCCGCGAGTTTGAGACCCCTGGTCTAGAGTGATTTTTTTCAGGCGTGGTCACACTATTACATCAAAGACAGCAGGGGCCACTCTTTCATTCAGAGATGCATTTACCACTCCCTAGATCCTCTTGATCACATTCAGGGGAAGGATTGAGAGGGCATGTGGCTGGTCACATTGCTGCAAACTTCTTGTTCGTGTCATTGGGCTGTACCAACTGAAATTGATTTCACAAAATTGGGCGGATGGTTGTCAAATACCTCAACTGGAGCTGTGCCACAGCATCAAATTCTCTGTTGAGACAAGCAGTTTTGTCCCGAAAGTTCAATGCAAAAAATTAACAGTGGGACTTAGATGTGGGCAGGGCCCAATTAACTAGTGAGAGTGTTAATGGCCCCTAGACCACCTAAAAGCACTCTACTAAACAGTTACTTGGGGATGCAATGGAGGCAGCAAATGAACACTTCTTTGCTGTCTGCCCCAGCATGGAGCAGAACCAAATATGCACTCTAGCAGGTGTTTGGACATCTTGGCTTTGAGTCTTCCACTATTTGCAATCTAGCCAACATCCAGCCTGAGCATAACTCTCCCAGTATACCAAAGAGCAAAACATGAACTACAGCACAGGAGGGGACACTTGGGTCTGATCAAGACAATTGCCCCCTGCATCTCACTGTTCTGCAGTAAGACTACAATCTTTGCTGGATCACCAGCTTTGTCCAGTAAGAAATCACAGGAGCATTCATACATCCACTGTATTCCAGCTGTCTCCTGGGATAGAACATCTGAATGTGTCTTCCCCCTCCCCGCATTATTTTTCAGGCAGGAAAAATAAGTGTTGTGAGTTCAGCTCTCACCAGGAAAAGGTCTGACCATGACAATAAGGTTATGTGGATACCCTCTCCCATTTTTTGAAATGAGACAGCTCTGTCAATGTTGTGGAGGCCATGAAGTCCCAAACTGGGGCTCCAAAAGCAGTTTAAGCATAGATATTAAAATCATGTGGGACTTTCTAGCCTATTGAAAGTTTCTAGAACAGAGGACCCTAACTGATCAATCTGGGATCCTTAGTTTTAAAAATCAGAAACACTTTGGTCTCTCCAGAACAGTTGTACCAGATAAAACTTAGTCCTCGAGAGGAATAGGTACATACAACCAGTTAGCGTGAGTGCACTTCCAGAGTGCAGTAGTTGCTGTTTTACATATGTTTATGTAAGG